TGCCATGATTGTTTGGTTCTTTATTTTGTATCTGGCTGCAGGTTGACTCTTTTATGCATGAAAGTCCAAGCATTTCCCCCCCAAAGATGCACCACCACGACCACCAGAAATTGTGATCTGATGGACCCTGGAAAATGGGAAACATTAAAGAAATTACAATGTTGCTCTTAACCAGCCACTGAGATAACTAATTTTTCTGTGGAAGAAAACTACCTTTACTTGGCAATAATTGAAGACTGTTAAAATGTCCCAAGCCGTCCCATTAACACTTGATTTTGGAAACACTTGTCTGGTTAATACCTAACCTCTTAGGCATTTAACTCCTAAAAGCTTGAATGGGGTTAGAGAACTGGATTCAACCATGAAGTGTCATGAGCCTTGGCCAGTCCTTACCTCTCAACTTAACTTGCCCCATAAAGTTGTTGAGGGAATGAGTGGACTGAAGCTATATAAGCCATAAAAATGCAATAAGTAAAAACTGATGGGACAAACGAAACAGAATGTTCTGGTTCCTCAGCTGTTGCAACAAATGAAAGTATTAGACAAATAGGATAAGAATTGTGTTCTATCAGACCAAGCACCCGGTAGATCCAGCTTTCTGTTTTGCATAGTGGCCTATTAGGTATCTCTGGGAAATCTGCAAACAAAACATATGTGCAAGAACAGTCTCCTGTTGGTATTCAGTGGCATGGTATCACAGGGGAGACACTATGGTGTATAACCATTCTGACCAGTAGTCATTGATAACCATGTCCTCCATGAATTTGCCCAGTCTCCTTTTAAAGCTGTCCAAATGTATGACCCTTGCTACATCTCATGGCATTAAATCCCGCACTCATTGCTAATGACAAACTACATTGTTGGACAAGGGTGTTAATGCATGAGTTTTAAACAACATGCATCATTGTTAGTACTCTAGCCCAGACAAGTTGTGTGCTTCTCCGAGGTAAATCCCTTTATCAACACCAAATGACTACTTCTGATTAATTTGTCTTTTACAGACAGACAGTTATGAAAAACAGATATGTGAACAACAGGAAAAAATTGATCTTCTGACAAGTGTTGTTGCAAAACTTCAGTTGCAATTGGCTTCTGTGAGTGCCACTAGAGGTAGGTACATTGTGTGTGTGTGCATGTGCCTATGAATGTTCAGAAATACACAGAGTGCACATTTAATGCAGTGATCCAGCAGGTTTTCAAGGATTTGCTGACCGCAGTACAGCAGAAGTTGCTTTTAAAACATGTCTCTGGCAGTGCTTAGGCTGTTGTAGTAGTTTGTATTGAGCCATAGTACTCTTTGTTTCTTAGTTCTTAGAATTTGGTGTTAAGAGTCCTGATAATGTCTGTGTTGAAAGGTAAAAGAGAAGAACCTGCATCTGCTGTAAAGTGATTTGACAGTCAGAGCCTCTTATTTCAGTATTTGGGTTGGACTTTGGAAAAAAAAATTGAAGCACTTGCTTATTCCTTAAGCTGTTTGTGTACGAAAATTAAAACACATTAAATTGTGTTTTAATGAAAGACACCAAAATGTGAAAGATGCTGTCCTCCTTATAGTTCATGCCTTTTGGTGACTGCCAAAACAGTGTCTCTAAAACATGAATGATTCAAGTTTACAGAATGGGGAGGGGGATTCGTGTTTCTTTCATATTTCCTCTTTTGTATAAACTTTCAGTGCCCTACCTTTGTCCAGTTGCCTGATCCTCTACCTTATGTCCTTTTTCTTACTTTTGCATATTTTCTTAATTTTGGGGAGGAGATTTTTTTTAAAAAAATCTTATTGCTTTATTTTTGCTGCTGCCAGACAGCCATCCTGTGCAGGCATGCCTCCTTAGGATTATTTTTTGGATATTTTATCTTTGGACATTCCTCCTGCTCTTTGGTGTTTTTGCTTTTGTTTTTATTTGTTTTGTTTTGTTCTGTTTTGCTATTGCTCCTTTCTTTTCTTGGATTGTAGTTTCTGGCTGGACTTGATGCCTGTTGGACTCAAAGAAGAAGAGAAGGCATCAAGTGGTACAGAGAAGATATTTATTTATTGATTTGATTTGATTTGATTTGTATCCCGCCCATCTGGTCTATACAACCACTCTAGGCGGCTTCCAATTGTGGAGGAGTGTGCCGTCCTCCATGGAAAGACACACAGAAGAGGCGGAATGCGCTGTGGGGGTGTTAATTGACATTGATCAAACAGAAGTGATAACTGAGAAGCCGACGGAGGTGTGTCTTGTGGAAGAAGGAGGGGAGGAGCTAGATCTGATAGTTTGGGAGGAGATAAAAGAGGGGGGAAATGCGCGGGCTTTTAGAATTTTTACGAACGTAAATCCAGAAAGGAGCAAGAGCCGAGGGGTTCAGACGGAACCCATGCTTGGGTTCGAGACTCCAGTTGGAACCGCGGCGGGTTTCCCTAATTTGGCTACCGGAGGAGGATTACTACCGGATCCGAACTTCCCTAGAGGGCCAGGAAAGTTTTGTGAGCCCTGAGAATGGACGGTAACGGTGCATCTGTGAAACTACCCTGGTGGGAGGAGGGTAATACGTCCTGGACCTGAGTTTCAGAAGAAACCTCCGGAGGGAGATTGGGTGAGGCACCCTTGTTGCGGAACGGTCTGTGCCGTCCAGAGTGCCCCCCTCCGCCCAATGACCGATTGCGAGAAATTCGGACCGGCCCCTTATTAGGTGACCAAGAAATGCCTCTGGTTATACGTTCAAAGAGATATCATTTGTTGGATGACTGTATGTTGCAGGATCCGTTTGATCCAAGAGAATTAAGTTCTGTAAACAATAAAACTTCTAATGTTGGATTTTACAATGAGCCTCCATGTCTCTTTCCCACCTTCACCACCAGTGCCCCCCCCCCCCGGCATGGGAAGAAATTCCTTACACCCAATAAAAAAAATACGAACACTCTAGGCGGCTTCCAATATAACAAAGACAAGCAATAAAATAACACAAATTACATAAATCTTTAAATGACAATTTACAAACCAGAAAATAGAGTAAAATAAAGAAAAATAAGAAGATAATCTCCTTGTATTCTAGTAGTTTTGATTGGTGAGGAAGTTGCACTTTCTGCTTTTTTTTTGCTTGTGTTTCTTGGTTTTTGGGGCAGGGGGCTCTTTGTGTGTGTTGTATTTCGCTATTTTTTATATGTGGGGTAGGAGGGGGAAGTGTTTTCTCTACTTGATTTTTAAAAAAATGTTATTTGGTCAATTTACTATGCATTTATTCTGTTGAAGTTTTATATATTTTGGTGGTGGTTAAGGACTTGGAAATACATCCCATATGGTTGGGTTGTGTCACTTTCACAGGTTTCAGTGGGAGTCATGAGCTTCCCTGTATGTGTAAGGCTGCAACTTTTTGTCCATGTACCGTTTCACTTATCTGGACTTCTGAATGGAAGTGAAGAGGTTTGTGATGCAGGTGTTGATGATTTTTAGTAGGATTTAGGTACATCTGACCTCTTCAGGTTGTGCTTGAAGAGTTTAGGATAGAAATGAGAAATGTCTGCTTAATGTAGATAACAGCCCTAGAACTAAATTAGCTTTCCTGGATACCACCATCTGGCTTCTTAGTTGTCAACCAAGCGGTGAAGGATGCCTGGAAGGAATGGCATCTGTGTATATCAATGGCATTCACAAACTGTCCATGTTAAGGGAGCAGGAATAGAACTCAATCTGCTACCTTGCATTTTGACTTTAGGGTGCCATGAAACTAGTTGATGGTTTTGGTCTTGCAGTGTAAATCTGCTACAGCTAACAGATATATTGAAGAAGGGGCCTTCTCAGTGGCTGTGCCCAGGCTTTTGAACTCCTTCCTAAGATAGACTAAATTTGTTGCCTTCTCACTGTTCACCTTTCATTGACAAATAATGTTTTTTTAATATAATCAAGCCTTTGACAATTAAGAATCACCAGTTATTAAATCCCAGTGGATGTGCTTGTTCTCATTGTTTTAGGCTAAATTATTCTACTACTGTATTTTAAATTGATTTTAAACAGTTTTCATTTTATTTGCATTTTAATCATACCAGTGAATTTGATTCTGTTTTAATGTCTGTCATTTTGTTGTAGTTTAATCTGCTGCTGTTTTAAATTGACCTGCAACCCATTTTGGATCCCAGTTCTGGGGAAGAGGTGGCATATAAATGAAATACATTTATATGGATATATTTATATATGCGCACACATACATTGAAAGATCTTTGAAACTTATTTGGAATGTGTGCATATGTAAAATGCTTATTTTCCCAAAAAGGGGAAGGCATTTTAAAAATATAAAACATGAACATTAGAAACATACTCGAGTTGGGGTAGCACAATAAAAATTGTCTTTAAATACTCGTAGGTTTTTAGTATGTGAGCTTCAGATTATGTAGGATTCGTTATGAGTTAGTTGAGAAGACAGAGAGGTGATGTAACACTCTGCAAATACTTGAAAAGCTGTTGTTCAGAGGGGCAGGATCTGTTCTCGATCATCCCAGAGTGCAGGACACGCAACAATGGGCTCAAGTTAAAGGAAGCCAGATTTAGGTTAAATATCAGGAAAATCTTCTTAACTGTTAAAGCAGCACAACAGTGGAACCGATTACTTTGGCGTAGGTTTTTAGTATGTGAGCTTCAGATTATGTAGGATTCGTTATGAGTTAGTTGAGAAGACAGAGAGGTGATGTAACACTCTGCAAATACTTGAAAAGCTGTTGTTCAGAGGGGCAGGATCTGTTCTCGATCATCCCAGAGTGCAGGACACGCAACAATGGGCTCAAGTTAAAGGAAGCCAGATTTAGGTTAAATATCAGGAAAATCTTCTTAACTGTTAAAGCAGCACAACAGTGGAACCGATTACTTTGGGAAGCGGTGGGTGCTCCAACACTGGAGGCATTCAAGAGAGAATGGGACAACCACCTGGCAGATATCCTTTGATTTGTATTCCTGCATGAGGCAAGGGGTTGGACTTGATGACCTCATAGGCCCCTTCCATCTTCACTCTTCTCTGATTCTATGTAGCTAAAAGGCCTTTGCCATGAGCTTGGTAGTTGAGATGTTTAATGTGAGGGTTACAAAGCACTTGTGAAACCTCTGTTCCTGCTTGGAAGCAGGGACTGATTAAAAACTGACATGTGTTGTGTCATACGGATGGATACTCTTGTTAACTGTGTTGTGGCCTCTCCTTCAGGAGTTAAGTTGTGCTTTGTGGAGATTCAGAGTGCAGGCCTCTGAATCTCACCTCCGAGTGTGAAACCAATGGATGGCTGCTGATTGTTAGGGAAAATCAGCCTGGAACTTCTGATACTGTATTTTTTAAAAAAAAATCTGCTGACACCTCATATTCTAGTTCTGGAATTATGCCCTTAGAGTGCCTTAACTCATACTGAGCCCTGCTTCCATGAGGAGTTGAGGAGTGGAAGTACTGCAGAAATAAAGCAGGGAGTAAAACATGGAATTGAATGCTGCAAATAACTGAGAAAAAGGTGAACAGGGAATGAAGCATCTGGCTGGTTTGAGAGAGAGGTGTTTGTAAGAGAGGACACTTCTGTGTGGTAGAGGACCTCACTGTATGTATCAAGACTGTGGTGCAGTCTTCAGTGAAAAGCTCGTTTTGTGCTGCTTCAGGCATTCTGGGAGTTGTAGTTTTCTTTTTTCTTTTTTAAAGCAACTTTTCAAAACTTGGCTAAGTGTGCTTTAGTCTAAAAATTACTGCTCAGTGTATAAATAAAAAAGAAGACATGTACACACAGCTGCATTTTACTTCAGTGGGCAAACGTTTTTCCTATGCAGGGCTTGTCTCCATGTAAGCAAGATCCACCTGAATGGGTCAGGTAGAAGTAAATGTATTTCTTTTAAAGTTTTCTAGACTATCTTTCATGTGCCAAAATGTGTAGCAAGATGACACACAAAAATTACACGGTCTACCTTTTAAAATATATTTGTTTAACGGTTGTTTCAGCGAGAAATATGTTTGATGAAAAACAACAGAAGTTTGTTTATTTTGCAGTTAATGCATATGATCAAGCTGCGGTACCTGAAGATAATGAAACAAGACAAAATGGTACGTTACTGAACTTAGATCCACATCAACTCAATGAAAAGCTGAAACTGGCAATGCAAAGAGAAAAGCTTTTAAAGGTATGATGTTTTTATAAGATATGAGGTAGTTCTCACCGTGTAAGGAGAATGATAGGCTGTGTTTCCTTGTTACTGGAACCAACAATATATAATGAGAAAATGATAGCTCTCATTCAATCAAACGTGAAGGACTAGATTATGGCGAATTAGGATGCTGGTGTGGATGCAAACTGCCCTCTAATAATGAATGGTGCAAGCCTGGAGGTGTGTGGGGAGGATTAATCTTATTTTAACCCTTTGCTGAAGGTATTCATCATTGGATTTTCACTCTAAGCCTAGTCATAAGTTTGCTTAGCATTCAAAATTTCATGTTGTGTTGCATCCAAATAGGCAGAGTTGCAGGCACCAGTGGGCTGGGCAGTTTTGACTAGGCTTCAGCAGTAGGTTCGCCCTTTCCCTTGTACAAATACTGTAGGAGAAGGTGCAACAGAAAGTAGAAAATGTCCTTAGTAGCTACCTGCAATCAAGTAGGTCAGCATCTCTCTGAAACCTTGAGCCTGTACTCTTAGGCAAAACTTTGTATAGCACTGTGCTAAAGAACTGTACTAGGAGTAGCTAATTAGCTCTTTTACAGAGCAGATGCTTGATGATCTTAGGCAGTAACTCCGAGAAGCCCAAAGAAATAATACAGATTTGATGCTGTTCTAAGGGTTCTGTGTATACAGTCTTAATTCCATGCATACTTTCCAAGTTAGACTGTCTATATAAATCTAGCTTGTAAAGTAGGGTATGGTTGTTTTTGCTTTGGAGGAGAGAAGTGAAAATTAACACATTAATAATAGCAATTTAACAAGTTACCATTTTCAGCTTTTAACATTGAGACCACCCCATCAATTTTCCAGTTTCTAATGTTTAACTGATTAATGTTTAAATCTTAATGTTCTGAGCTGTGGCTGTATCACATACCTCCACACCATAGTATAGATTTGTCCCCTTGCATATTACTCTTTCTCAAGTTTGTACACATAGCTAGGTATGGGGAGGATATTTGTAAGCAATACTCTGAGAGCATGGAAGAAGTGCTATATTTTTATGACGCAACATGTGGTTTTTGGGCAAAAGATTCCGTCCCTGATATCTTTAGGTAGAAGGAACAGATAACAGGCAATGGAAAACGCCTCACCTCTGGAGATTATGGAGAACCTGTGCCAGAGGAAAGGTTAGATGGAACCAATTAGATGAATAATCTGGCTGCTTTTAAGGCAGATTTCTGTATTCCTCTTCAGTGGTTTAGGAAACTAGCCATGGAGCCAGAGGTTGGGAGTTCAATTCCCCACTGTGCCTCCTGTGGGTAGAGCCAGACTGTGTGGCCTTGGGGGCAACCTGCACAACCCCAGAATGTTCCTGGAGGTTGGGAGTTCAATTCCCCACTGTGCCTCCTGTGGGTAGAGCCAGACTGTGTGGCCTTGGGGACAACCCTGCACAACCCCAGAGTGTTCACGGAAGAAAGGAATGATAAACCACTTCTGTGTATTATCTACCTAGAAAACACTGAAAAACGATTGCTGTAAGTTAGAATTGACTTGAAGGCAGATGATGGTGAATATCAAGTTTGTGGCTGAAGGGTTATTTTATTTTAGGATTGGTCTGTAGAAAATCATTCAGGAATGCTGTATTTTCTGACTAAGCGAATTTTAATCATGCGTGTTAATTTGTAAAAAGAAAATACCTGTTTTATGAAATTAGCAACAGCTGATACTTACACTTCAGACATCTAATTTGAGAACAAATATCTTTTTTCTTTCTCTCTCAACAAGGTTTTGCAATTACAGCCTCAGAGAGTTGAAACTGGAAACAAAACAGAAACTACTGTCAGAGGATAATTTCAGAGGGCGCTATTACTACCAAAACAGCAAATGTTTTGAATAGACATTGTAGTTCATGAGCAGAAAAGGAGATGAGAAAGCCTTTCTAGGAGTTATTGCCCCCCTGTGAAGTTACCTTCAGTTTTTTATCTGCTTTTAAGAATGAATTGAGTGACAAGGACACCTGACTGTCCAGTTCGTACTTCTGTAACACAAACACTGAGCTTGTAAGCAGCAAACCAAGAGAGTCTCTTGGCTCGCTCAGTAGCCTGAGGCAAGCTGCTGTCTTGGCTCAGTTCGTACTTCTGTAACACAAACACTGAGCTTGTAAGCAGCATACCAAGAGTCTCTTGGCTCACTCAGTAGCCTGAGGCCAGCTGCTGTCTTGGCTGCAGTTCTTGACCAACAGGATATGTGGTGTGTCTGGGGCCGATGGGGAACATGGTCCTGCTTTGTGACAAAATAACATGAATTTATGACTTTGAACATTTGAAAACATACATGGCACTTGGAAAACATATATAAATATTCAGTAATAGTATTATTATTGTTTATAAATAAGTACTGTTAATTTCAGTAGCTCTGACTCAAGTGTTTGTTTTTTAAGCTTTATTTACCTGGTCAGTATTCATGTTTGATCCAGGCCCTTGATCATCTAAAACTACAAAAGAAGCATGGCAGCCACCACAGGCTTGGTTCTCTGACTAGTAAAAATCGGCTAGTTTGAAACCACTTTTATTCTCCACTTTCACAGAAGGTCTGAAACCCTAACACAGTCGTGGCTGCTTTTGTAAGCATTAGTTATAAAATTGGAATGATCTTCTTATGTTCCAATTGCAATTTGTTTGTGTCTTGAGAAACCCCATAAATGACCCTCAGACTGTATGAGGTTGTTGATCCTTGTAGAAGGCAGTTTCAAGAAAGAAAAAAAGAAAAAAGTGGGGAGCGAGGAAGAAAGAACCGTGTCATTTAAGAGTGTGGAAAACCCTTGGGTAGATCAGGGGCCAGGAGGTAAAAGTGCTCTTGTTCTAGTTTTGTGCTCCCCCCCCCCCAATCTTTCATTCTTTCAATTTGCACTTCACTTCTTAAATATTTGAACCTTATCCACTTTCTGGCTGCACTCTAACTTTTTTCACTGTATCATGAGAAATGTGTGTTTAGAAAGCCTTCCTCCTAGGAAATATTTCTCTATCAACTTTTAACATTAAAAATATTTGGTCCGTTACGTTGAAAGGTTCACTCTTCATGAGAAATGTGTGTTTAGAAAGCCTTCTTCCTAGGAAATATTTCTCTATCAACTAAGAAATCTGTCATCATCTGAGCAATGTATACATCTTTAATTTGCTGTTTATTTCTTTCTCTCTTTTTTATATTTGTAGTGAACTTCCTTGGCTCCCAGAGAAACTTATATGTGTTAGTAGTAGGGGGGAAATCTATTACTTTGGCTGTAAAAATTAGTAACATATGTTCCCTGAGAGTCACAGAAAATACAGAAAGGAATGATTTGAACAATAGCTTGATGTTTTAGATTTAGAACTGGTGGATGGCTCGGTGGTTTAGGCATCTGACTGCGGAGAAAGAGGTTGGGAGTTTGATTCCCCCACTGTGCCTCCCTGACGGGCTGGACTCAATGAGTTATAAGGTCCCTTGGATATGTAATAAGCCATGTTTGAGGATGCAGGGTCTTTTCCTGACAAAGGGGTTTTCTGCATCAGGTTTGATAGCTCTGATATGAGGATGAGCAACAGCATATACCGTATTTTTCGCTCCATAAGACGCACAGACTTTCCACCCCCCTGTTTTGTGGGGAAAAAGTGAGTCTTATGGTGCAAAAAATACAGTATATTTTTTCCATGTGGCCCATGCTGTAAGGCCTGGGAGGGAGGTGGTTTATAGCAGCTTCTGTGCTGCAAAGGTGGTATGAGGCAGGATTCAAGGGAACCAAGAGTGACTAAGAAAAACATCTAAGTATTGATGGCGGGAAGAACATCAGTAGGTCCTCATCCATATTTCTGTTATGCAGATTGTCATACGTGACAAAAAGATAACATTATTGTGTGCCATCAAGTTCCTTCTAACTTACAGCAGCTCTTGCACATGTTTCCTAGGTATACTCAGAAGTGGTTTATCATTCCCTTTTTTTTTCCTGGTGGCACTCTGGGGCTGTGCAGCTTGCCTTGAGCTACTTAGGCCGTCTCTTCCTCCTTCACAATGGTGAATTGAACTCCTGACCCTGGCTCCCTAGCCAGGTATGCAGACTCACTCACCTATTCAGCCAACTACAAAAGATAAGCCACCACCATTTTAGCGGTGGACGCCCCCACTCCCCATCCCTTCAGCTATGTATCTGGTGAAATAGTTGTCTCCAGAGTATCACTTTAAAGTACGATTGAGTACATGTCTGCTCAGAAGTACATCCCGTTAAGGAACAGGCACGCATACCCACCTTAGTAGCCTATTTGCCAAGTTTGAACAACAGCACATTTGTTTCAATCATTTTGCTTACTGCTGGACAGGCAAAGCATATGAGAGTCCAGAGGTCTGTCTGTCTATCTCCTGTTGCATTGTAGAATTTTCAAATGGACATTAGCTATCAGTATTCACATTGTTCCTATGGTACTACTCTGTGTTTCCTCATTTTGATTAATTTCCCTTATATTCTGCAGTTGACTATGTCTGTGTCTATACCTACATCTACATCTGTTTACCTGTTTGACTTTAATTACCCACAGGAGCTGAATTATGATTCTTTTCATAGAAAATTGAAAAATGCCATGCATCCGTACAAAGCTTTGGGCCTTAAAAAAGGCAAATGTTGCTACTGCTTCTGTAACTTCATGGATTTTTTTCTTTCTTTCTCACTGAAGCTTCTTTCTTTTTGTTATAGACTGAGAATGTGCAGAATATTAATAGCATAATAATAGATGAAAAAAGCACTCTTTTTAAATGCCTTAATATCTTTATCTTTGAAGTTTTATAGCTTGAACACTTGCAAAATTCTAAATTATTAAGTGTTAAATAGCTACATCTAAGCTGTTGCAGAAATTGCAGTGCTTGAAAACTATTGTCACCTTCAAATGTACTTTATCTTGACTTCAGCATATTCTAAAACTAATTAAACATTAGTGAATCGAGTATATAAATGGAATAAGCAAAAAAAAAAAAATCATTCACATTTATAAGCACTGACATTTGTACCACTGGTGTAACTTGTTCATGTGTTCAAAATAGCAGGCAGTTCTTTTGAATAATTGTCCACAAGGAGATTTGTCTGAGTCTCACAATAAATGAGTTTTAATTAATTCTGCCAAATCTGATAGTAGTGTGTACAAGGTTGCTTTCATTTAAACACAGGAGAAAATTTTCCACTGATTCAAACCAAAGGCTAATAAAGTTGAATATCCTGCTCTCATGGTTCCCAAAGATCAATAGGTTCTAGCAGAGCCTTGTGGTGCAGTGAATAAACTGCAGTACCGCAGGCAAAAACTCTTCCCTCAACCTTTATTCAGTCCCAGTAGATTGAGGTGGTCAGCCCAACTAAGAGCTGAGATAGCACCCACACACACACACACTTGTAATTCCCCGCCACTGGTATTCAGAAGCATGCTGCCTCTGATCCTGAAGATAATATATGAGTGGTGGCCATTAATAACCTTACTCCCTTACATACTGCATAAAGAAGTCTTCATTTCTGTCTGACTCACCATTCAGGTAAATTGGATGAACTTGAACCACCCTGCACCATGTGTTATGTTACACATCTCTGTCATGTATCCTCTTATTCGCCTTTTTTCTAAGCCAGAAAGCCCCATGGGTTGTAACCTCTTACACAAAAGTTGTTTCAGTCCCCTGATTATTTTCGTGTCCCTTCTCTGGAACTCCTTCAGTTCCTTTTTGAGATGCAAGGACTGGGGACCGTACACCATAGATTTTATACAAGGCATTATAATCTTGGCCGTTTTATTGTTCAGTGCCTTTCCTAATGATCCTTAATGTGGAATTTGCCTTTTTCACAGCGTTTTCACAGCCTGCTAAGACTTCATTTAGCCTATAACGGTCTGTCCTGTAATGCCATTCCTCAAAGCCTGAGGAATTAACCAACTGTGCTGCTGCATTTTTCCTGTTTTAGGAACAATTGGAGAGTGAGAGCGTAAAATTAAAACAAAGCGAAGAGGAAAGTAATTTGAAGAAAAAGAAATATGAGTCTGTTCTCACCATCAGAGAAGATGAAATAAGGCAGCTGAAAAAACAGCTGAAAGAAATAAATGAAGCACAAAACTGCGCACAGATAACAAAATATGAAAAAGAGGTAAGAATATTAATTGGGGGTTTTAAATATTTCTAAATGGATAAAGGTCTGTTATATCACATATTATTAGTTATGCATACAAGTGACATGAAAGATTCTTGGTTAGCATATTAATCATTGTCTTAAACTGTAAATTAAATACAGTTTGTCCATTTGTGAACCTACATCCTGGGTGGAGATCTTATTTCTCTCTACCACCACCCCCTGGCTCTCCTGCCACCCCTGGTTATGTATAATTTTGAGAACTGTCTGGTGATTTCTCTTTCATATGTCATTTGAAGGTGTATGTTTTGTGAACAGTAATGGTCATACAACTTCTCTGCCTTTTGCACATAAATGTAATTTCAGATCAAGAAATGTGCTCTCTGCCTTGCCTTTTGTAACTGTGTTTCTTGTTTTAAAAGCCATGCTTTCTTCATTTGCAACACTTCAAGTTTTGAAAGCCATGTAATCAAAAATGGATTTTTGTTATCAACTTTAGGAACAGGCTTTTGAATAAAACGCCCATGTAATACTGGGCTAATCCACAAGGTGGTAGTCAAATATAATAACTTCTCTGCATGCATGACAATGCAGGTGGTATGGTTCAGCTTTTTGAAAAGTGCAATGATGGGAGACCTTACCGATAGCTTTCTTGGTAGTATAAGCCTATGAATATCTTTGGCAAACAACATTAGTTGCCTCAGTTTTATTATGTATTTCAAAAGGTTTGTATGATATATGGCAGAATGTCAAGGCTAAAGTGTTTTTATGAAAAGACACTGAATTAATAGAGAATGTAGCAAAGAAGTAATGAAGCATATTAAGTACTTCAGACACTCTTATTTACCCTGAATGCATTTTGTCCTCTTTACAAGCCCTACGTATCAGTGTGAATAGCATCACATTGTTAACTCCATATCTGCCCGTCTAAATATTGTGGGTGTGCTGTGTTAATGAGGATGTGGTGGTTTCCAGTTAACATGTTCCAAATTATCTTTTCCTCTTTTATAAATAGGGAAGGGTGGGCTAATGCCATTGAGAAGTTGTTACCTGTTTAAATGCATTTGTTTTCTTAAGGCTGTAGCACAAACATCTATTTTCATACCTCTGATTTCTCTTTTTTTAAAGGGAAGGAGTGAAAAACATGTTTCACCTGGCCAAGAATTCTCTCCAGGGGCTATCACTGCAGCTAACTATGACAAGTAAATATATATAAATATTAATTTCGAAAACCTGGTTGTTCCTTTTATTTACCACTCCCCAATGATTTTAAAAGCCACAAGTGCACCTTATTCTTCTCTCTTCTTCTCTCAACCTGCCCTTGAGCATTGAAGAGGATGTCTAGACCCACATTCAAGCATCACACAATTGGGTTGAGTGATAACCAGTTTGCCTTGGCTGCCATTCTTGAGTGAAAGGCTGGATATAAATCCAATGAATAAATGAATTGTTACAGAGGGGCAGGAAGGGGCCTGCTTCAACATAAGCAGCCTCTCACTCTCAGTTGGTTTATAAGGAAAATGGAGGAGGGGGGAGTACAGTCAGAATAGAAAAGCAAAAGGCCATCTTTGCATTGAAATCCTTGCCTCTCTGGTTAATCTTGATAGAAGCTCCGTTTTACGCTGACTGTGCATTCTAGATCCATAATGGAGAGAAAACCTGGCTTCTAGGCCAGACCAGTTTTCTGTCTAAAGGCAGCATTTCTGTCGTTATAGTGGAAGGAACTGGACGAAGCTGGCCATACCAGGAGATGACAGTGGCCCTGCTTAGCGTTACCCTCCCCTCCCTTGGTGGCATACATCCATTTGTCAAAGTGACATTGCCCTCTTAAAGGGACTTTTGATTTGCCATTGCTTTTTTACGGTTTCAAAGTCAAGTACTTGACAACTATTGCCCAGGCCTGGTTATCTCTTAAGTGTTGCATAGTTTGGAAAATTTCACTAGGCTTAATAATTGATGTACTGGAGTTATGATAGGAGAAGAGGTTTTTGCTTCCCCCCTCTTCTACACAACCTTAAAGTGTACAAAAGAGGGACCTTATCAACTTTTATTTTACTTTAAAATTGAATGCCAGAAGAATAGTAACATGGAAGTCTATTCCAAAATTCCCAAACATAAACTTTAAAGCAAGGAAGACACTTTGACCTAGTTATTAATCAGCTGCATTAAGCGTTTTACCACAGTGAATTTGTTTTAAGTCAAATTGATTTAAATATCTACCCAGAAAGACTTGGTTTCATGATGTGATTAATATATATTATCACATAATATCTATTTACATAGGATTCAATTTTCTCTGTCTTGTCCAAATTAATACAATCTGTAATGGCACATTTAGTGTCTGAAAGGGCATCTTTACAGACTAAGTGTGTTAGTGAGTAGAAGATTTTTTTGAGGTGGAGAAAATCCTGGGTAAGGAGAGAGTTAAAAATATGTATTAAATTTATCATAAGCAAAAGTGACCCTTTGGAGGGAGGAGTTTTGACTAAATCCCAGTTCTTTCTGTTCCCTGTCAGAAGGTCTGAGGATTACAGATTTTTTTTCCTAATGCTGTTTACTAAACTGAATGCTAGAAACAGAAAGTCTAACATTTTTAAAATGATGTAAATTCTGATTTCAATTCAAAACCAAGAAAAAGTGTTTTGAAAATCATTTATTTCTTGTCTTGTAACCTCCCATACCATTTCCTCAGAATAAATACCCGGTCCTTTGCCTTGATACGAGTCCCAGGGAAAGGGAAATGAGAGTTTTCTTCTCCACAGAGGGACTGATAGCAGCTGAGGGGGAGCCATTTCGGTGTGGAGGTATGGCAGGGGGAAAGAGCTGAACATCTCCCTGAGCACTGCCCTAGATTGGCCCCATCCCATCCCACCCCTACCCCATCCGTGGCATTATTCTGAGTGTGTCATTTTAAACAAGTTGAGAGACCAGATCACAGATTTTCTGCACTCTGTTTTGTTTTGGCTTTGAGTCTTAAGTGATGCCAGTGTTCCCAGGGTTAGGCTTGCTGGGTGGTTGGTGAAAGACAGCAGGATTGAGTGAGGCGTTACCTCTGAATTAATTATTTTTTAGAGATGAACTGGAGACCCTTTTCTGGGGAATGAAGGAAGAATTTCATCGAATACGCACACTAACAAGAGCACAGACAGACCAGCTGAGTAAATTTAACCTGCGGAGAGAACCTGTGACTGGTATTGCTTTACTGCAGCAGTTATTATGATACAGCTTTTCCAGCTGAAAGCTATCTTGCTTGCTTTCTTGTGCTAGGCACAGAATATTTCAAGCTGACTTGCCTCTCTGTTTCATGTGGCCCTCTATAATATTGTAGCCATTGTGTGTGCGTGCATGCTTATCTATATGTGCGATGTGGCAGAGAACCTTATATTGGGTTTCCCTTTTGTATAGGTTGGGGCCACACTGGTCCTTGCATAGTATGATATGAGTGTTCATTTTGCCGCAAGTATTCGAGTTGGGAAGCTACTGCTCATCCTGTTTTTCTTAACCCATTTCCTTGTAACACAGTAAACATTCTTGCCTCATTTCAGATATGAGTGCTTTAAATCTCTCCCACTTGCTAAACAGGGATTATGTCCATATAGGGAAAATGCTATGAGTGGTACAGTTTCTTAATTATTCTGCTAAAAGTAAATACGTATTGGGATTGTATGTCAGGTGTTAATCATTGTGCAGTAAGATGCATCTCCAAGAGCATATAAATACCTCCTGTGCATTTGCATCCTTTCCTTCACACATCCTGAAGCTTGATATGATGGACGCAACACACAGCCTCTGATGCTCAATTTCTGGTGATGTAAGAGAGTCACAGAAGAGCACCAGTCTGTAACAATCACTCATTTTATTCAACCTCACACAGTAATATTCTAACTGAATTGTGAGTGTTGCAAACAACAAGTATATTTTGGTTGAGAGATTAATTATGCTCAATTGCTTCTTCCAAATTTTCTCAAATCCTTTGACAACCCCCTCTGTTAGATCAGGCCATGCTTAGTCTAATATAGGATGGCCAAACAGTGGCTAGTGGTGGGAAGCTCATAAGCCTAGGTCTGAACTGCTACTTTAGCTTGTGATCAAAAACCTATTTATACCATTCATTTTCTAAACTAAAAATAACTGCACCTAATCTTTGGGTTTTGCCTATTTATGGTGAACTTTAAAAATCATTGCAATTGAGAAACCGCTTTTGCAGCATCCCTAGAAAGAAGTTAGCCTAAGCTGTGCCAGTCATGTTCACATGACTGCAGTGGGCTCAGTTCAGGGTTTGTTTCTGATAGCCATAGTGAGGGTGGTTTTCTGTGTCTTGCCCAAATGCTATGTGTTGCTTTCATTCAGTTTGCTCCAAATGCATTTACAAGTCTATTACAGGAAAGGTAGTATAGAGGTGGGGAACCTTCAGCTGTTCTCACACTGCAGCTCCCACATTCAGTTGCATTTTGACCACATTGGGTGGGCATGATGGGAGGTGTGGGTCAATAGAGCTCATGAGCCAAAGGATCCCTTCACCGTGCTAGGAGCCTTAATGAGCTCTACTATCTCGTTAGCCCTCTGTGCTGAAAATACGGCAGAACATAACAGTGGACAAACAAAAAGCTGTTCTTCTCCCATTGGCAATTCATTGGGCTGGAGCTGAAGAACAACTCACTGGAAAGGCTTCCCTCAACATCTTCCCCCACCCCTCCTGTGACACCTAATATCCTTTTCGGAAAGGGATGGGGGGATCCTTCTGATGAGAAACAGGCAGAGGGATGGGGGAGGGACAAGAAAGTTCCATCCCTTTCTGCAGGTGGTTTGTTAGGGTCTATCCTATTGTCTCATACATAGGGTAACATGATTAACATATGAGAAACAAGACCCGGCCAAATCTAATAGAAACGAAATTGTGACAACATTGTAATGTATAGAAAGGGTGTTCCACATCAATTTATGTTTTAAGTAGCCTACCACCACCCTCTGAAAAAAGATCCCTGGTCTGTCTAGTTGAAGGTGGGGAACATATGGCCTTTAGATGTTGTTGTACTGAACTTCAGCTGAAGAAGCATTGCCACTGCTAGAGGACAGTGGACTTGTAAAGTTCAGCCATCTTGGACTTTGGGCTAATTGCTGGGCTCTTAACAGAAAGCACTGAATACAATTTGAGGTGCAAGGGCAATCACGTGGCATTAATTTCTTATTCCAGGAAAAGGTTCTGCCCAACAAACAGGGATTGACAGGAAGAATCCCCAATGGTGTCGTTATGGTGCCAGTGGGGAAAATGTCCAAAGATCCGCATCCCTTAAATTTGGGGGTGGTGGTGGTATGTGTGTGTGTGTTTAATTTATAACAAGTTGCCTGGGCTGGCTCTAGAGGAATTTGACAAATGGGGAATTTGGAGTTTACTTTAAACTAATTCCATAGATCAGAGATTCCCAACCTTGGGCCCTCAGATGTTCTTGAATTAAACTCTCAGAAGCCTTCACCACTGGGATTTGTCATCCAAGAACACCTGGGTTACCCAAGGTTTGGAAGCACTGCCTGAGATTATCTTTATTTATTTATTCTTTTTACAGAAATCCCATTCTCCACACCTATCCAGTGCACGGATGAACAAGCAGATGACCTTTGCAACCCTTGGGTTAAAAAGGACCTAAGCAGAGGTATTACACACTTCCCTTCAGTCACATCAAAAGAAACGGACCAAGATGAGGAGGAGAATTCTGTAGAGTCCCTTTCTCAACTGAGCGTGAAGTTCCCACCTACAGACAGTGATACTGCTTTCTTGCAGAGTACCCCAGATGCTCCGCCAATCCCATCCAGCATGGGGACACAATCCTTGCTTCAGGATCCACAGTTTAACAGGGATCTTGGAAGTCAAGATGAGAGCTTCAGTGACATGAACTGCATCTTGTTTGACCATGACACTGACCCTGTTACTTCAACTGTGTCTAATCTGGCAGCTACCGGCATGTCCAAAGCCTCAGCCCACACGAACATACTCATCCAGAGTCCTTTGGACAGAGTCCTTAAAGCACCTTTTTTGAACAACTATGGAACCACTAATTTCCCAAAACAAGATAACCCTAAAATAAATTTTCCCTCCTCAGCAGCAAATGAGAGAACTGCCAGAGCGTCTCAGCAGGTATCTGTTTCTTCTTCTTTCTAAATAATAATGTTGTGTTTGTTCATGGCCATTATGAGCTGTAAAACTGAGCAGGTTATGGGGATTCAAAACTTATTGGCTGAAATCCAGTAATAAGTTGCAGCGAGAGTAGGGCCGTTGAATGTGTGAAACAACTTAGTGATTTGGTGGGCCTACTATAGTTGTGACTTGCTACTGATTTCAGCCATTACCTCACTTCATTTGTTATGTAGAACCCTCAAAACACTTGCATCGGCCCAAATACCTTATTGTCATTAGGTCATCAGCGTGTGCTTTGCTTTGTAGTAGCACCCATCTTTCTCCATCCTGAGCCTTTATTTGTTGATACGAGATGGAGAATCTTTGACTCTCTCAGATGTTTAGTGTACGGTTCCTATCAATCCCACCCCACATGGCCAGTGATAAAAGATTGTGAAAGCTGTAGTCCAATAGATTTGAACGACCATCCCCACTCCTTAGGGTGATCTTGTATGTCTTTGCCTTGCACTGAGGTCCCGGTCTAACCTACCTGGCATCCCAGATTGATGCACACTCAGCCGATGGAGCGTTCTCCAGTGTTAAGGCATCTCTGCTGCACAAATGAGATGTGTGCACACAACTGTATCTAAAATTACACCAAACTGAGGCCCTTATGTTTACTTTCTATTACATTTGTGTTCAGCCCATCCCCTGAGGTGGTGTATGGTTTCATTTCCCCACCCTATAGCTTAGTGGGTAGTGTACATACGTTTGTGCGAAGCAGGGCACAAGGTCAATCTTTGGCCTTTCCAGTGTAAAGCGGACGATAGGAAAGCATTTCTTCCTGAAGATTAGCTGCCGATCACAGCAGGCAGTATTGGGGAAATGGACAATATGTAGTTCATCCTGGTCACAATCAGCTTCCTCTGACTCCTCCCTTATGTCATAGGTTAAACTAAGTTCACATAGCTCGTTTCATGACAGAGTGAACTGTGGTCTGCTCTGGGTCTGGTCCAGGCTTTTAACTGACTGTGCAATGCTGGTTCTCTTGCATACTCAGGGGTGGGCTGTGTGTGTGTGTGTGTACATCAGAATTCCTGCATCTAGAAAGAAATCTCTGGATTTGGGTGTACAGTAGATTTACACTGATAAATGTTAATGACTCATCCCTGTATAATCAATGTGAATGGGTAGTCTTTTGGGAGCAAGAATATTTTAGCATGCATTTAATTCTCCCACATTTGCCACTTTGATAATGGACAATGTTTATGGCTTCGGTTCTGAAACAACTGGAGATGATTTGCAACCCAAGCCATACAAATTATTTTTTAGCAAATGCTTGGAAATTCACAAGCCTGTATCTTGACAGTTCACAAGCATGTGAGAGCCACCTTGGGTCCTTTTTAAGGAGAAAGGTGGGATAAAAATATTTTAAATAAATAATAAATATCTACTCTCCCTTTTCCAGGCATGCTTTTTCCCTGTGCCCCCCCCCCCCGTCCTTCCCTCCCTCTGCCTCTTTTCTCTTTGTTTTGGTCCTGCTGCACCCTCTAAATAGGTGCTTCCTTGTTGTTCTCACATTTCTGGAAAGGAAGATGCTTCTCACCTATGCTTGCAGCAGTCCAAACCTCTATAAGGTTGAAGTCCTGTATACAGTTAACTAGGATGTAAGCACCACTGAGCAGTTTGGGACTGACCTCTGAATAACTGTGCATAGGGTTGCACTATGTGCAAGTTTCAGTTAGCTTAAATTCAGATAATAGTTCTATTTTGAAAAATACTGCTTTTGAAGAAAAGTGACCTAGCATTTTCAAGCAGCTATGGGATGAAAGGAAACATCTGAATATAAGACAAATCATAGTCTTTTAAAAAGTCCCAATTATTGCAGGAAATGAACCTCCTTAACAGCGCTGCAGTGATGTTCAAAATACTTTCAGTGGCATTCCTATAATTTAAATAGACTCATCCTACTGAAAACAAATGAATTGGCATGAATTAAGTACAGTACAGCCCAAATTTAAAGGTTGAAAGTGTCAATGCAATCATGAAATAAATAATTTTAATGTACACAAAAAGTAAATATTACATTAATTTTAGGGCCATATTTCTAAGTTACCGAGTAACTTCTCTTTTAGTTTACAAAATTATTACATTTTTTATATTGAAGTCTGTTGTTTTCTATACTTGCTTTGGGTCTTTTGCATTGAATTATTTGAAGGCTCTCCAGTTTTTGTTTTTTGTCACACCAGATTCGGAGTTGGGCTGGATCAAAACAAATTAAACTATTTCTTCTATTACTAGTAAGATTCCTGTGGTTTTGTAAAGCACATATTCTACTACTTGTTACATTCCCCTCTTGTCCAATATGTCTCCTGCTTGTTCCTTTAACTAGTCTGTGTATTCATTTCTCAATAGATGGCACCCTGCATTGTATATTAAAGCATGTGAAGTAGCTGATATGTGATTGTAAATTTATGGAGAAGTATATGGCTTTAAAAGTGCAGGAAATTTGTAGTTGAACTGCCACTGTGTTCAAGGTGTGAGCCTAGAAAATTTTAGACTCTTGGGGGAAAGAATCGGCAAAAGTTTAAGGCACATATTTTAAAATGTGAATGGTCTGCTCTATAATTCAGTAGTAGCCAGGAAGTTTTGATATTTTAAGTGTTTACATTTGGAAAGAAATCTGGCAACAGAAAATAGTTCCAATATTTGTTAGTTGTATCTAGGAAGGAAAGAAAGACATAAGGCCTTTGGTTAAAATTGTGTATCTTATCCAGAAATTTAGGCAAAAGAAGCCAATGCAATTTTAGAATTTGTTAAAGAAGCAGCTGCATACATTTGCTTGAATATTTTGTTCTCTTCATAGTTTCCAGTTGCATGCCTATCTTTCAAGCATAAAAAGACTGAGGATTATTTTTAGCGAATAAAGATCTCAGTCCTTCTTTTTCAGCTGAGTGAGGAAACAAGAAAAACTTCCATTGTTCAAGTGCATGGATAGCCGTTTACGAACAAGAGTAAGGAAAACTTAAGGATTCTGTCTGCTTAGGAATAATGGTTTGAGCTCCCAGGGTCCACACGGAATGGTTAGGCAGAATTGCTCACTGACAGCCACCTACTCTCATGAATGGCCTGATTGCAGGTTCAAAGTTAGGAGGCAGTCACGGAAAGTGCCCTTTTCTGATGAGGTGGGGAGCTTCATTCCCTTTAATAGCCATACAAGTCAGCTGAAAACCAGTTGGAGCAGTTCACCATTCTGTCTCCATGTGTAAAAAGCAGCCATTTAAAGCATCTGAGTTTCTTCTAGATTGGTTACACTCTTCCTGTCATCCAAATGGTGCTCACTTGCACACCTGATGTTGCCCCACCCAACCTGCCTCCAGCAGACAAGAACTTTCTGTCATGTATTTAGTACATGTGTTAACAAATAAAGATGAGGAGGGAAAACTTAAATGCAGTGTAATTGGCAGGCATACGTTATTAGAGCCGTGGCTCTCAGCTGATGTAATAAATTTAGCTGTTCCTTGGAGACACTAAATATATAAAAAAATTGATTGCAGTTTCTTAAACACCTGGATTGAAAACTGTTATACTGGGAACAAGAATGTAGATGAAATGGAAGGATTAAGGATCTGGTTCACCAAGCAGAGTAAGGGAAAGTAAATACTTAGAGAGAACACATGCATTCCAGAAAACTTGGGCATGTAGAGCCCTTTTCAGGAAAATGCATCGGATCTTTTGCATATATTAATTAATCTTTAAGAGTTACAACCTTCCTTCCAGACAGTCAAGTGCCACAGTTTGGCTAACCATTGAAATGATGGTGGCATTTTAAACAAAAACCAACCAACCAAAAGTATAATTAGAAGAAGAATGAGGGCAGCCACCATCTATTACAGTAAATTTGCTGTTTATTAGTTGGGAAGGAGAACTTTAAATCAAGTGGGCTACATGATAAGGATGTGCATTTTTGTTTTTAAGGCTATTCTGGTATGCAACTGAAATATACAACATTAAAAGATGCTCTTTCCCTTCAACAATAACGTTTAGCTTTTGTTTATTAAGTTGTAAGCTAGACGATGATCTTTTCAATATATCAAACAAAATTCCTAATTAATGGCTTTATCACCCATTTAAAAGAAGGGTACTTGGTTCAGAGCTCTAATTATAATTTTCAAACATTTATAATTCTCCAGTATAAAAAAAGCAAGTGTCAGTAGATATCTAAAATAAAAGTGAGAAAGCTTACAGTAAAATCTTTCTTACGCACCAAAAATAAATCCCAAATAAATAAATAAATGCATTGTTAGGCAGGACGCTTTGTAAATAGGTGCTAGGGAAATCATCTGACAGTGTAATCCTGTAGATGTGTTATCAGAAGTAAACCTCATTTAGTTGTGTAGGATTTACTCCCTGATAAGTGGGTATGCTACTACAGCATTGAGTCAAGATCAGAATGCAGTAACAAATCAGGCCCTTTGACTAGCATGAGTTTCCACAAACACATACTAAAAGAATAGCATGAATATTGTAGCCATCAAATCATGCCTCTTAGTACAGTTATTAAAGCTGCCAGTTTAAATCAAGGTGGAGTTGCAAATAAGTAATTAAAAATACACTTCCACGGTGATATTTAAAATATGCATCAGTGCCTAGACAGGTTTCTAAAGCAATTTACACCAACAAAAAGTAGACTGTTTGTTAGAACTTGATGTAATTACATCTAATTGGTCTATGTTCTGCAAGGATTGATTACTGACCACAATAAAAGATCCCTAGTAAAAAATCTGCTAAGGTCTTGTGCAAATGTTAAATATTTGTTTAGACGGAGAATTAACTCCTAGGAGAAATGGGTGTGTCTCTCTTTTTTTAATTATTACCAGAATATAAAATTGCTGTGTTATGGAGCATATGAATGATACTGCAACATGTCCTTGCTTTCAGCCCTGGTAGTTTTGTTACAGTTCTAGTGGCATTCAAACATTTATTGACATTTTTTTTTAAATCAACAAAGGGGATCTTAGAAGGCTGGATTACATACGTGTCCAACATGGACAAGATGGAAATTGTTTTACAAGAATAAGACTCAACCCACTGAGAACTGTAGGGCAGTAAGTAAGATCAAGAACTATCTCAGAAGACTACAAAACAGAAATCCCATCACTTCCTGCGTTTTTCATAACCCGGCTATTGAATTTTGTATTGAAGACATTACTGAAATATGTACAATTTATTTTATTTTTATGGGGATGCTATTTGTGTCAGAATTCTTATATAACACTTTGGCATACACTGAAATAGGCGCGATACCGCATATAATCTATCCAGCTAAAATTGTTAACAAAAAATGTCTTTGTTGATGACTCAAAAATGTTTAGAATAAAAAGGTGCAAATATTTTATATCTTTTTTTTCCCCTTGTGCCTAGAGGTAAAGCAAAGCCGGTATTTCAGGCAAGTGAAACACTGTATATTTAGATGTACCAAAACAACAGCATTCCCTAACCAGTGAAAAGCTGGCACTTGTTTTACACAAAGTACTAACTTCTTTTTCCCACTTCTTACAGCCACTCTGGAAGAAGCCATATCACACTCAAGACAATGACTTATTGGCACTTGCTTCTGCAGACTCGGAACTTGATCAGCCTGGAATATGTGAGTTCTGTCAGAAGGTTTTCCCCCCATCTCGTACATCCAGGGAGGACTTCCTAAGACATCTGAATTCACACTTCAACTTGAAATCTTAGTGTCAGTAGAACAGGCAGAAGTTTTATTTAAATTGAAACCTGATGGTTGCTGTACTTGATTGAGTTTCTCAATATATACAGCAATTTCAAAATGCAAGGCTACATCGATATAGCACACATGATCCGGAGCCCACTGTTAATATGATTGCAGCCTCTTTCAGAGGCGTAAAAGGGAACAGTGTATAAACACAGTCCCCATCAACATGTTCTTAGCTTGTCAAAAATTTGGTTGAGGGAGAAGCGGGCTGAAGGTTATCCCCGTCCGGTTTGAGAACAAGAAGTACTTGAATCCATATTCGATGTATGGAGCTGGTAACTCTACCACCACTGTGCCTTTGTGTTTGTAAAGAACTTTGTATTCACTAGGATGCCTTTATACATTTAAAAAAGTTTACGACTTATTGTAGCATTAGGTTATGAATGTACATACTTGGAGCCAAGTCTTGTTTAATGGTGTAATTATGTGCTAGTTCTTGATAGGGCCCTTCATACTGAAATGCACTGTGGCCCATTTGTGAATACCAGCGACACATCTGTTTTGGCTTCTGATAACTGATGTGCTAATCTCACATGCAAATAGGTCAGTGCATTTGGTAAATCACATTTAAACATGGCAGGTGTGCATGGAATGCTGATACAAGTATGTGCTTTATCTGTGACCCATGTTACTTTTGATGACTGTTAAGAGTGAATAAAAATTATCTAGACCAGATCTCTCTAGTTTTGCCTTCTCTTGTTTCAGGAAATAGTGTGCTTCAGTTATTACTGGTCCTAGTGGTTCCTCTTAAACAATATAACCAGCACAGCAAAACCGCAACTAAGAGTAAGGATTCTCATATCTAAAACCTTGATGCTGTTGTTCAAGGCCAATGCGAAATACTCAAGTTAAGCCTTGATGTTGTGCTTACTGAACTTGTATTCTCCACAAGTACTGAACTTGTATTCTCCTCAAGTTAAGCCTTGATGTTGTGCTTACTGCTTAAGTACTGAACTTGTATTCTCTACAATTTGAGAAATGGGGAGTAATGCATGGAGGCTGTGCTTCTGAATTGGCCTTTATTGGATAGGGTTCTTCCTCCATCCAATACAGTTAGTAAATAACCTACTGTGGTGGACTGTAGTGTTACTATTCAATAAAATGTTGATTCCTCTCCCCCCCCCCCCCGAGGATGGTTTGCAGCTCAGTCAGGGATTGAATAGGTGCTTTGCATGCTGAAGATTTAGCCTCTAACATTTCTAGTTAAAACATTAAACCCTGGAAATTACTAGCAGTCAATATAACCTGAAGAAAAGAGGCCAGTGGTCTGATTCAGTATAAGACAGCTTTCATGCCTTCCTATGTTGGGTTGCCCTTTTGAGGGATTCTGAGGCACCAAGAAAACAAATGGGAACAATATTTAATTAGTCATAGAATTATCAATAAGTGAATGCTTGGCCTGATTTTAAAAAAAGCCAATTGTGTTAACCTGCTTAGAAATGACCTTTGTGCTAGCAAACCTGTAGTTTTTTCCAGTATAGTTTCGTGAGCAAGCATGACAATGAACTCATCAAGGGTATAAAAGAGGGACCTGGAGCAGTGGTCTGGTGACTGCGATGGGGACAAGAAACTGCAAGATGTACTGTAAAAAGCAGAAGTATTAATCATGTATCAGGGAGATAGAAAGTACAGATAATCAGCTTGCTCGTGTATGGATGTTGTTGTTTTGGTCTTTGGGACTCTCTTGAGACTTAAAGTCAGTCCATGCATAAAATTCTTAAATAAATAAGAAGCCTGTTGGAGCACAGCTTTGTTATTGATATTTTTTAAAATTTTCTCACCATTTTGGTGCCTTGATTCAGATTTGAACAGAGGTTGCTGAAGAAGTCTTTTATTTGGACTGCAGCTCTCAGAATCTCCTAGCCAAGCATGGTCATGAGAGTTGGTCCAAACAAGTAACTGTTTCAAGCTCTGCAATTCTGGGGTTTTCCTTTTAAAAAGCCAAAATGCTTCAGAAAGACCTTTAACATGCCGCCTATCACGATGCTTACGGGTTCCCAATTCCACCATCCAGCTTTGGTATATATGTAAAGGGAGGTTGGAAGGCTATGGAAAGTTATTCATACAGCTGGTATGAATCTTGCCAGTTTTGAACTGCTAGATGTGAAAAGAGCAAGAGAACAGCACTGCAGCCCCTCCAGAAAAGAAAAAAGCTCCTGTCCAGCTAGAATGATGGGACAGTTTGTGGGAGAAAGTGGAGTTTAGATGGAAAGCACCCACTCTTGCAGGCAGCAGAGTGCTTTCCTGCACATGACAGAAGAGATCCCTGCCTTAAAAAAAACCCTCTGGAGGACTGCTGCCAACCAAGGCTGGAAGTGTGGACTCAATTTGAACAGTGGTCTGACTCTGTATAAGATCGCCATAAGAAAACCTAGTGCTTTCAATTTGTCATGCAGAACAACTGGTGACCCTTCTTTGCCTCAAAAGAAACATCAAGCTGGCTATAGAGATCTCTCTAGGTTGAGCATTATATATTTTCAGAACATTATCATGACTTGCACAAGCATTTAGCTTTATTCAGGTTGTGGCTGGTTTGTTTTTGCTTTTGTTTTAAACTTGGTTTTCATTATATGGGAAATAAGTTGTTACTGAAAATTTTAGTCATCAAGTATAACTTCGGCAACTTTAGCACAATTCAGTATTTTTCACAAAACTGATGGCAACATGGTAGTCTTAGATTGTGGTATTTTTAGTCCAGGTGCTTTAATTGTATATAGTAATGAGTTTTAATTACTGTAATTGTCTGCAAAAGCTATTTCTTCATTTTCTCAAGATGTCTAGTAGTTACATAAAATGCTCATTTTACAAGTTACAAGGTAGGGAATGTCTTGCATAATTTTAAACTCATTTAGCCATACAAAGGTCTCTCTACAACTTCGGTTACAGCCTCTCATCTGTCTTTGACAAGCTGTTAACTGCCTTTCTGCTGAAATAAATGGTACTGGGCAGGGTTTTGTCTCTAGTGTGACCCAGAATGTGTATGTTTTGTTTTACTGCAATGAAATTACCACACCAAGCTTTTTAACAATGCATGTATGACTTAACAGGGTCTGAGACGTCTCCTTTGGCTTGCTGACAAATGATGCTCTTGAGGCTATGGTTTGGGGGGGAGAGGGAGAAGGAATGCCGTCTCTTGAAAATAGCCCTTGATCCTGAGGTTCTAGCATGTGAGTCAAGGTGGAAATGCAATAAAGAGCAACATTTTATTTGAAAGAAAGAAAGAAAAAGAGATGTACTGTACTGTACTGTGCATTCTCATTATTTCATTTTTTACACACATTAAGTCCTCAAATTTTCTCACACAGGTACACATGACTCCATCTAATACTAATTGCTGTTCTGTCCCAGACAACAAAATGTCTTGGGCCAGCCCTATCCAATTGGCATTTGAGGTGAAGGCATGGTTAGCTGGCATACTGGTCAGGAACACTCCTATTGTGGATATGTTAGAACATGATTCTGAAAGCAAAACGCTTGTCAGGAAGTGCCTGAAGGTACTTTCTGTAGTTTACATGCAAAAGGGCATCATCCTTTTCTTTTGTTTTTAAACATTGTGTGTTAGTGTATTAGCTTTGATGCCAAGAAAACTGTGGGAAGACGGACAAAGGTGTATCCTGAACATCCTCCAGTCAGGATAGAAATCGAATAAATAAATAAATAGCTTTGATGCCAAGAAAATTGTGGGAAGAGGGACAAAGGTGTATCCTGAACATCCTCCAGTCTGATACAGGTTTCTGAGGAGGGAAAAGCTGCCACAGGGGGGCATGTGCTTTATTTCCCTCAGCAAGGGGTGTGCAGGCAGTAGGAAGAGAAGCATCTGAACTAAAAAAAAATAGGATATGAATTATTTGTAATAGTGGCAGAGGAAAGCAGAACTGGGAAGGTGATGAGACAGGCATACTTGTTCTGCTCTCTCTCACCTTCCCTGCAGTTTGGGCACTTCTTCCCCTCATCATTTGAGGTGGGGCACATTAGTGGGCCGCCAATGTGTGGAGTCCTTGGCCAAACAACGGTGCCTCCCCACACCCCACATACTCCTCAGGGGAGACGTGGATGGCCAAGTTACAAGTGAATGTGAAAGCGGCAGTGTGCCGAGTTTTTGCTTTCCCAAATAAGACCTTTATGGGATTGGAGTGCAGGCGTGCTCTCTCTCACACACACACACACACACCCAACACACCTTTCCCCGCGCGCACTCTGGCTACCTCGCCAGCTGCTAGTAGCTCTCGTAATTAGACTGTCATTGCTCGTTAGAAGAGAGCGGGAAACACTCTGGTGACAGATTCCACTCGTTCATCGAGGGGGTGCGATTTTCGAAGGGAAATTTCGTACATTAATTTGAGGTCTCAGCTCTGTCCTTTTCTGGAGGTTCCCTCTGCAGTCTGTTTATTGCCACGCGCAGCTAGAGATCCTTTCCTTTCCCGCCAATAAGATCTCGAGTCGATCAAATCCTTTGCCGGGGGTTGGGCACGGGGGTCGTAGGAAGCCGCTCCCCGAGCCGAGTAGGGCTAGCCGCGTGCGTGACGGAGAGGCCACGCCGCTGCTTCCACGCGCGCAGGCCACGGAGTTTTCTCACGGCCCCGCTCCAGCGCCCGAGGAAGCGCTTTTGTCACTCTCAAACATCTCGACTCGACTCGTCTCTTCCCTTCCCTCCCCACCCCGCCCATCCCCCCCGCCCCGCTCGCCACACAACCTCCCTCTGTAATTCAGACAAGGTTAACTCAGCAGAGGAGGTTTAATCCAAATGGCAACTGGTATTGCATTTATTTATTATTATTTTTTAAAAGGGGGGGGAAAGAAAGGAAGGAACGACGAGTATAGCGGAGCGAGGAGCGAGCGGGGGGGGGATGAGGAGGAAAAGAATCAGAAAATAGGGAAAGAAAAGAGAAAAAGCAGCAGGCTGATTACGAGGTGTCAAAACTGCCAGGAGCAAGAAGGTGATAGCAATCAGGGGTGAGAAGAGTGCGCCATTCGTGCGGGGCAGCTAATTATCCGTCTCATTTGAGGCAGCAGCGTTCGAGGCAGCCGCGTTCGCCTGCTGAACGGTGACAGATTGGCGCGGAGGAGAGGGGAGGTGTTAAAACAATGGAGCCGGGCTTGCGAGCGCTGCTGCATGCTAATCAGGCCGGCCTCCTTCCTGCCTTTTCCCTCCGCTCGCCGCCTGCCCGCCT